GGTTGGAAAATACTGTTTTAGATAGTATCTACAGAAACAATATAATCGTTTCACTAAATCACGTATATATCGACTTAATTTTCCTTTTTAATGGAATGGAACAGGGATAAGTTTTAATTGTGTATTTGATTAAACTTTTTGTATTAACTATTAAAGAGATAAACAGTGCTTCTCTGTTTTTCGAAAGGCTCTGCGAACCTTGGAAAATTTAACGATTTCCCTACAATGTTAAAGTGGTGGAACGTCTAAAAGTTACAAGTTAAAAAAGATTTATAATGAGTATATATAAAATGAATACACATTTTATGTTGTAAATTGGCAAAATAGTGAATACTCAAATTTCAGGTTTCGGAATTTCATTTTTCACGATAATTTTGTAATAAAAAATTATAATTTAAATGAAATTATACTTTTGATAAAATATATGCTCGGTACACACTATCGGTTTACTTTCGCATCGCTCAAAATTCTTTGCTTCTCTATTATTTTTAATAGACGAAAATAGAGCGAAATCGAATTGAGATCGAACCGCGATTTATAATGTGAACCATACATTATAAACGAATGAAGAATGTTTGATCGAATCGAAAGCGAACCGAGATTTTATCCATAGTGTATATTGGGCCTCATTGTACAAAATATAATTTTGATACCGATAAGAGTTAATTAGGGTAAATTGAGGAAAGATAGTCCACTGTTTTAAAAAGAAGCGTTACTTCGTAGATGTCATTAATACCTAACAAAAAGGAGATATATGTTATGAAAGTAAAAACATATAAAAATGATAGTTAAATAGGCCTCTGTGTAAGGTTCTGTAGACCATTAAAAATAATTGGAAATATATTAGTTCATCCAATAAATAATACGGTTTTTTATATGGCTTTTATTTTTAAAAATGAAGATATACAAGATTGTTTTTCATCTGAGATATATTTTCCTTCATTATCTATAAGTTGTCTACACATTATAGTTACTTTAAAAAAAAGTTTTCTTTATTTCCATTCTTAACAATAAAAGAAAGATAAGAAACCGCATTATTTACAGGATGACCCAAGATAGATATTTGACAATGCAAAAAAGATTGGACCATCTCATCCAAAGTTACCCTATATGTCTAATTGTGATACTTTTTAGATTTTATATATACCGAGTGAAAATATTACATTTTCAAAATGACGCGTTTAAAGTTCTATAATATGAAAACGTATTTTTGTGAAAACATTATTTACAATATTAATTATCGATCTCAGTTGTATATAATATACCTTCAATTTCCTTGTATTTAACATTCTGTTTTAAGTGTATCACATTTTTTAAATCACCATGATTTTGTTATTTCTCTGAGTTAGCGCGTGAAACGTTGAAAACGCGTTTCTTCGATATCACATTTAAAAAAAGTGCGATAAAAGAAAATCGATTTCTTTATCTCTCTAAAGAAGAGCTGCTTTTAATAAAATAACATATTATATTTCATTTTATAAAATCTGAGAAAAACGTTGACCTGAACTTTACCGTTGCTTTCACTTTAGAATATGATAATCGTATATGACGGAATTGAGAAAACTTACCAAAAATTGAAAAACCTGTATAATGAATCCCCATGCTGATTGCACTTTATTATGTCTTGAAGCTGTTCTATGTGGTATCGTGTCTTGTAAACATCTACGTTTGAACAATTTTCTGCTCTGGTAAAAATAATAGTGATTGGTTTGAGTAGCGTACGGGTTTACTTTATAATTTCCAAAAATACCGACGCGTTCAGACTGGTAGAATTTCTGGTAATTATAAAGTAAAAATGTGGACGCACTCTTAGGTACACCCCTACCCCAGAGAATCTAGTCTCGTCAATACTAATTTCTATTATTTATGTCAGGGAAGAAACTTGTTCAAAACATTGATTCTTATGACAAACGTCAATTTTTTATGATATTATTTTCTTTTAACATACAATGTTGACAGACGGTGGTGTTGACTACTACAGCGCAGGCAGTTGTTTTAATTACGTCTGCATAGACACACGTTTTTTGGTTTTATCTCGGAAACTAAGGCTGAGCGGAAGTTATATATACTTAGAAAAAAAAATTCATTCTGCTCCTTATAACTTTATAACTGTAAATTAAAATAAATAGTACAAATTTAAAAAATGATAGCAAAATTTTATTTTCGCCGAAAACGACTATGATATTTATATTTAGTATGTCGAAATCAGTAAAATGACATGCACTTTATTCAAAAAGCGTTGAAGGTGAGAGGAGCAACGGTAAAGTCTTGTCGAACGTTGTTTGGGGGATATGAGGGAGATATCTTAAGATAACTGAAAATCTTATCTCTTTCAATGTGTCATTTAAGGTCATTTATTATTATTAAAAATTATATTCGTTATACGTTTTGAAACTGTTCTTTTTCTCTTGTATTATTTCTGTAGAAATATTGTGTAACTGACTTGATATGTAGGCATTTTCTTCTAATCTTTAATATTATTAAGAACGATAAGTTCAATCGCTATTGAACGAAAAAATCTGTAGTGTAAATCACAAAAATACTAATTCTTTCGAAAGTAATTGTAACACGAACTCAGGACATCTTATCGGCAGAACTTTTGTTTGTAAACATACGTAAATTATATCAGAAGTATTATTTTTATTTTATAACTAACAGTAAGATAAAGTGTCTCGATATTTTTATGACATTTTTAAGATTTTTGTTGTAGATTAACGTAACCACAAGTAATGAATCTATGTTTTATGAATACATTCTTTATACTGTACTAAAATACTATGTTAAAATATTATGCTAAAACATGATTCAACTCATTTTTCTACACAATTGCATATTCATTCGAAATACAAAATTTAGAAGTCAAAAATTATACTGATGTCCCAATATTTCTGTGACTAACTGTATCACTGCTTAGCACGCGAACATTTTGTTTACCTCTGATTCAACTTGTTGGACTGATTATAGTATTATTTTGAATCACGTTTGCAACCGTATCGACATTATACTCCGGTACAAGAAATCTTGGCAATAATCAATAAAGATAAGTTTCGAACAACAATAAATCAATTTGAATGACTTTCAAAGAACATATCAAGGCCTATGAATGTGCAAACGAATATGCTATATATCCACCTATATAGTAGAAACCATACATGAAAGTGCTTACATTTTTAAAAAAAAGCAAATATTACCTTATAATAGTATAACAATTTTTGTTTAAAATGTTGGAAAAATTGTTCACAGAATAAAATCGCACGTAATTAATTTCAATATAAAAGAGGATATAAAAATAGATATTTCAAAATTTTGTTTAAAATATGATTGGTAATTGTTTTTGTTAGAGTTAGCTTGACGAGGTTTACGACATAGAACAGGCAGGCAGCTACCTTTGAACCTTTATTTGAGTGCCCGTGCCATCTGTGCACCAAAAATAGATGGTACGTGACAAACTTATTTTTTTCCGTTTCTTGATCTTCAATTCTAGTACGCTCGTCCAAAACGATTTAGGGTTCGGTAATGCAGACCATGTCATAAACGCCGAGGACCCGGAGGATGATTTAGAAAAAATCAACGTGAACAAGTTTGGTTTTTTCCAAACTCTTGAAAATCCTGTTCCCCTTCCAGAAAATAACGCCCAGGGCGTAATGGAGGGGAGAAAACGAGGAAATGGAGGGGATTTCTGGCTCCAGGTTTTTGGCGACAGACAGAAAAACAGCAGAGTTTAGAAATAGATATCACACAGAGAACACAGTTAGGAGAGAAATAGAAACAGACAGCATAGACAGAACATTATATTGTCATAGGACAATTTTGCTCAGTAGAGAAAGAATAGAGTTCGACACTAGCAAAACATAACAGAGTTTAAGTTCCTTTATAGAAGCACACATACACACGCGTTCACAAGCTCACACAAATTCTGTGCAATCACAATTTAATCAATAAATAGTGTTACTCCACGTCACGTGTCCTGCAATTATTACGGTCCCAAAGCCGTTTGCAATCTTTGGGTGGTTCTTCGCAACAGCATCATAGACGACACCTAGTGCAAATAATCAGGGCTCAACCACACCCTAACAGTTTTTTAATTAAATACCACTCCTAATTTTAAAGCCACAACAGCATTCTCTTTTATTGTATCACAATTTCAAATATACCCTTTACAATTATGAAGTGACTAAATTAAAAATGAAGTTTCAAATGTTTTTTTTCCACAGAGTTTCCCTCACGTACCGTGTCAAAAGCGCACACAAAGTCAAACTCACCGACAAACAGTTGCTACAATGGATGGTTCCAATATTATTAGTAATGTTAATTTATCTTGGCACGTGGACACTAAGTGCACCACCGTACGCCGAGGTGATAGCGGACAAGTATGGTCTAAAATTCTATCAGTGTTCCTTTAATTGGTGGGACCATAGTTTAGCAATCGGTAATAACACTTCTTAATATAAATATTATTATTTATTTAATATATTTATCTATATTTATTATCTAATATAAATAATTAATATTAAAATATGAAATGTAGGGAAGAATAGGGTAATCGCGGTCAGCTGATAATGATGGTCAGTATTATTATTAAAAAGTGACGCATCTGAAGTTTCCAATTTTTCTTGTTTACGTCTTATTATACCATTTACTACGCGTATGCACGGTTGCCACTCAATCGCTGTTCAAGAACAAAGAAAAACAAGCTTTATCTGTTTTTAGCAAAAAAGAACCAAAAAGTTAGTATTAATTTTGATGTCCTCTTTGCAATTTAACTTGAATTACTAACAGATATATTACAAATAGGAAGGACTATATTAATATCTCATATAAATATTTTTTATTTATATGTTTAATATTCATTTTTATCGATTATTGCGTGTGCGGGCAATGCTGATCGCTTGCCCGCAACATAACCGTCGTTATTTATTAGGCCGTTATAGACATATTCTTTTTAAAAAGGCAACTTTACTTGATGAATAATAAGATTGCGATTTAAGAAAGTTGAGGAAGGTCAATGGACTGCTGAAACTTTATGAAAAACAATTATATTTATTGAAAATGATCATACAATACAAACAGCTGAAGAACCATTAAACATTCCTCTTTCTGCTTCATAATTGATAATAAACAGGCAAGATAACTCGGGGTCGATAAAGACAGCATGTTACATTTTTAATTTTATTAATAAACAAAAAATGTTTGGGAGAAAAGAAGAAAAAAGATAAAATAAAAAAACAATAAAGGTAAATCTTGTAAAAAAAGAATTAAGGTAGAACGGAGAAAAATAAGAAAAATGTGTCATTTATTATCATTATTAATTATGAAATTAATCTATTATCAAGACAATAATAATAGCGATATAAGCGAAATGTAAAACGAATGCCATATTTGTTTCCAATTTGGTAATATTTTTATGATAAAATATGGTTTGGTCGCATTTTTTGTGGCCTATGGGCCTTAAAATATCCATTCTGAACATTCCAGGTGGAACTCACTTGAAGGATATGTATGCGAAAAGCATTATGGTCTTTAGATTATCATTGCTTACAAAGTGACCGCTATTACCCGCAGCTATGGGCAATTATGGTTAAACATATCTTTTTTATTTTTATAAATTTTGTTATTTAAATGAATGTAAAACAATTTTTGTTTTATTATACCAATAGATAAATAATTTAGGTTTATGAAACACTTATTTAAATAAATATTTTATTTCATATTTTCATTTTATTATAATTGTTGCTTAAGTAGTTGCCATTGCTCCACTCTTCCCTGCATATTATTTAAAATTACGCGATAAAAAGTATATTTAAAATTAATATTATTCGATAAAAAGGAACTGCAGAAATCAACCATGTATCCTTTTCTTATAGGAGAGATTATGTTCCTTGCATGGGGTATTAAAGTATGTTACAACGTCCGCAACGCAGAAAGTCTTTTCAACGAGGCCCGTTTAATAAGCTACGCAATCTACAACATAGCAGCTGTGAATATAACCATGATCGCAATTCAGTATGATCTTATCTGTAGTATATTTAAAATATAGCGTGGCTCCACAAAGTTGCGAAAAATCAAAACAATTATAGAATTTTTAAGTTTTAGAAAACTTTGGTTCGAAATTCTACTGAAATCCACTCTTGTACAAAAATTCTAAGTACGTTATGATTTGTTATTGTGATTTTATTAAAATTGTTTCAAATATGAAATATCTTACAAGGAAAGGTATCGGACCCGGATATTTAAAAAATTATGAACATTGTGTGTAAGTAGAGCAAGTTAAGCAATGTATTAACATTGCAATTTTTTTCGTGTCGAATTTCACTTTGTAGGAGCGAAGCCACCCCTTGAAAAAAATGTAAATTTTTCTTTCCCGTGGATTATCTTGAAAACGGAAAGGTACAGCGAAAGAAAGTTGAAACGAAAAATACATTGTTCTTTCGCATATATAAAATCACAAAATAAAATTTTCCAAAATTTTAAATGTGTATTTTGAATTTTAAAAATTTTACTTTGTAGTTTATATACGTGATAAAACAATGTATTTTTCGTTTCAACTTTTTTCGCCTATATCTTTCCATTTTCAAGATAATACACGGTAGAAAAAATTTGCATTTTTTTCAGGGATGGCTTTACCCCTTCAAAGATAAATTCGGCACAAAAATTGCAATGTATTAGACTTGACTTACTCTACTTACACACAAAATTTCATAATTTTTAGTTCTTATTGCTTTTGAAATTATTTATTTATACACAATATTGATAATATTCCGAGTATTCTTATTCTCAAATTTTTATTCTTTTAAGATTTATATGTATATTGAACATCTATAAACTACAATAAGTAAATGAAGTCTAAATATGATATGAAGAAAGCACTCTTTTTGAAGCCACTGTTCATTCGTAATATTGTTAACTTTAAATCTCAATCCTTTAATTTTGCAGCGTCTTCATTTTCCCTCATGCCGGGCCGGATATCAAGTATCTGTTGGGATTCTTACGTACACAACTTTCTACTTCCGTAACCATATTCCTTGTGTTTGGTCCCAAGGTATGACATACTTTTTATTTATGTACGTGAAATTTGATGAACAGCTTATGTAATACAAAACTTTTCTTAAACGCATATTTTCGATTTTTTTTATCGATTGTAACATAATTTACAAATTATAGGTAATTCGAGTATTGCGAGGTCAGGGAGATCAATGGGACAGCCGCGCGAGAGCGCGCGGAGTTACGGCAAGTTTTTCATTAAATGGAACAGGCTTGCTACCTGAAGAAACAACGGATTTAATTCAGGAGAATGAAGAACTTAAGGTAAATCATTCTCACGCAATTTTCTAAGTTTTAAGGTGTATAAAGAAGAATTGTTTTAAATCGCGTCCGCGATAATACGTTCTGAGGTAATTAACATTAGAACTACTGTGTCCGTCAAGACGACGGGTTATAGATTTTTTTTCACAATTATTGATATTTGAAAAGTATTCATTATTCGAAATGATTTCGACAATAAATAGTTTCACCTAAATACTACAAGTAATATCTGAAGAAATTATAAAAAAATGTATTGTTACAATCTTTATAAAGATTATATATCAATCACAATAAATATTCGGTAGTTCTATTGTTAAAATTGGTGAAGGAGCCCCGTTTGTAAATCATTACCAACTTTTTAACAACATTCATGTTTCTTAATAAAAAAAATTATTTACATTATATTTAGTTTAATAATGGTCGGTTACTGTTAGTGTAAAGCGATTAATTAATAGAACAGTAACATATATACAAATTAAATATTATGTAAATAATTTTTCTTAATATATTTAATAACTTTTCGTATATATGTTATAGTTCTAGTGATTAATTGGTTTATACCAACGGTAATCAACCGTTATTAATAATTCAAAACTATCTTTGGTAAATGTCAGGAAAGGACTGGAAAAATACCACGCATATTCAATTTGTGTTTTGTATTAATTTATATAAAATATTACTTTGTCAAAACTTTTCTGTACACATAAATAAGTAATTTATGATCAAATATATATACAATTTTTGTTTTGTAGTAATTTATGAAACAATATCCTATTTTCTGTAGTGTAGTTTTGCCAGTAAAAATGATTTTGTTAAAACTTCTTTCTGTACACAAACAAAGAAATAATTTATAACCACGTTAAATGTGGTGTAATACAATGTAGTATAAATTTGTTCATAGATAGTAGAAAATAGTGAAAAAATGTTCTTAATAGGTGTACCAAGCTACGCAAGTAATTATTAATAATTACCGGTAAATATAATTATTACAGTTTATTATTTATATTTACCAAAAGATACAGATATTATTAATAATGGCCGATTATTATTAATACAAACCGTATTTATTATATCAACTGTAACATGTACATGCACACATGTTTTCAGTATATTATTATCAAAATATGGTTCCATTAGTCCGAAGAATCTCTGTATAAAATTTGCAGTTGTGTTATTTATAAAGAATCAATCAGTGCATCTATATCGATGAGTTTGAAGTTTTATAGATGAATGATTTTGAAACAAATTTTTTTATCGTTACATATAACTCTTAAAGCAGTGCAACTTTGCCATGAAAAATTGTTGTACATAATTGTAAATGACGAAAATATTTTGTTATTTCAATTTAAACGTCTCATCTTGTTTACACATGTTTATACCGTACGGTACAGGAGGAAATTCAGAATTTAGCTGCACAAATCGAGTACATGAAGATCGTGCATATGCAAATGTACAATCGCCACCTAAAACCGAAAGCTGGTGGCTACTTCAATACTCATGGCCATGGACATACTCATCCGTCCTCGGCACAAAGTCCCATCGCGAAAAGTTCGACAGCCAGTTTCATATTGAAAGTATGTATCTAAGCTATCTTATTAATATTTGTCGGTTATTTGCAATAAAACGAAGCTAGACCGAGAACATATAAAAAAATACAGTGAAGTAAATTATTGAGCAGACAGCTGTGGAGCGAGGAGCGTCAGCGGCCGCAGCTGCCGCGGTCGAAGATTCAACTTTTCCCTCTGGAAGCTTGCACAGAGTACGCAGAGTGGAATTACTGAAGGAACGAAAAGCTGAAAGGGAAAGGGAACGTGAGAGGGGACGAGAAAAGGAACGAGAAAAAGAGAAAGAGAAAGAGAAAGAGAAGGAGAAAGAGAAAGGAAAAGAGAAAGGGAAGGAAAAAGCGAAAGAGAAAGAGATAGAACAGGTGGAGAAAAAGGATAAAGAGAAGGAGAAGGAAAAAGAAAAGGAAAAAGAGGATAAGCAAGAGAAAGAAGAAACGGAGAAGAAAAAAGAAAAGGAGATACAGAAAGAGAAGGAGAAGGAACAACTAAAGGAGAAGGAAAAAGAAGTTGAAAAAGAAATGCAAGAGAAGGCACAGCAGGAAAATGTAGTAATGACTGGAGAAAATGTCTGACTAGTGCTACATAGTGATGAGGTAAGATGTTCAATTACTTATTAGCAGGAATTGAAAACTGTTATGATATCGGTTCTTGAAACAATTATGAAAAACTAAAATAAGTCATAACTGTTACTCCGTATATTGGTTTCAGTTTCAATTCTTAAGAAAAAGTTCAGAAACGATTTTATAATCGTTATTTTTCGGTTCTTCATTTCAGATTTTCATAATTGTTCCAAAAACCGAAAAATAATAGTTATAGAACCGATACAATATTGGTTCTGAAGAACTGGAACCGAAACCGATATAAGTAGCTTAGAACCGATATACCGAATGACAGTTATTCATAACTTATTCAAGTTATTTATAACTGTTTTAATCGGAACCGATATGTAATTGTTTCAAGCAGTGATTTTCAGAATTTTCAATCTCTGCTTATTAATGCTTTAAAGGTTCATGGAAAAGGGATTTGAAAAGGTTCTCTTAAATCTCTTAAATCATGGATAGTAATATTTTTTACGCAAATAAACGAATAATAAACGCCTATATATATTATTAATTACTATAAATATTTAGAGCATTTTTAGAGTTCCTACAGTACAATCTTTTCGTTACTATTATTAAATTCAATGAATCTTCTTATATTCTAAAAATGATCATAAACATTCTGTTCAACTGTGCCTACAATACGTAATTTAAGATTTCAAATTAATTTGTTTAAATAAATATTTTCACACTTGCAACACGTATAATAACAAATTTCAATGGAAACAAGTAGAATTTATTTTGTCAATATTATTGTCAATATTAATTAAGTGTTTAAGATATGTTTTTCGGTAATGTAATTATTATTTGGAAACTATATTCACAGTATGCTTTTACACCTTCTTAAACTTTAACAGTAGGAGTACCAAAAACATTGATCGAAGTAACTCAATTCGATTTCTTTCTTCCCGGTTATTGAAAAGACGCAGATGATTTTCTCGGACATTATTAAATAAATTAACTCAGATACACTCAAGTTAGAGCATAAGCAAATTAAAATCCCGATAAACGTATTTCCATAGAATTTACAAGGAAATACATGATACTCAATTTTACTACTGTGTGATTCCATTGTTAATAATCTTGCATATGCATAATACTTTAAAAGAATATATATATATTCAATATTTTTAAGAATCCAAACTTTTAATGTATTCAATTATGCGTAAATTTTATGGGTTATTAAGTGTCATTAATAACAATTATTAACTTTCGGTAGTGTTTTTTTCTCATTATTGTCCAAGTAATTACACCTGTTGTTAAAAAATTTGTATGCTATTGGATTGGTTTCATTACAATAATTATTAATCAAATCAGAGATACTGACCACCGGTGATCGCCGTAACAGTTAATTTATTAGAATAGATTTTATTACTTACCTTAATAACAAACAAAAATTATTAAAATGCTAACCAATTAAAAAAATCGTATTACTCATATGTGGTTATATTTTCGTGTCTTGAATATTTTAATTTTTCAACCAATCTTTGTAAAGTATTGAAAATTAGAATCTTGTGTTTTGGTTTTCTTTTACTTGTACAAGCTTACTGTTAGTTTTTATATTCTTTTAATTCACAGATATGGTTGTGACAAATGCAGTGCACTAAGAAGAATGGCAAAATGAGAAATAGATGTGGTTGTGCAAATAAAAAACACAAAAAAGGGCGGAAATTCAAATGGTACCCCTTAATGGATACGCGACGCGCAGTGTTTATATGAGCCGGTATAGTTCAATCAGTTAATAGTAGATATTAAAATATTTCATTTATATAATTTGTTCGTGACTGCAATGTTTTCTCGTAACATTATCGGAAATTGTTTATATTATACCAGAAGACACCAAAATTATTATACGTAGTGATTAAAAAAGTGTAACTTTTAAAGTTACACATGTCATTTTCCTTATTCATTTGTATTGTTATTATTATTAAATATTGCACTTTCATGAACGTTACAGAAGACTATCAAAATTCCAAAGATTCGTATATGTAAAGCCATAAGTTAAAGATCCTTTATACATTCCATAAGCAACAAAATAATGTATTATTTAGTGAGATAAATTATTCTTGTTATAATGTTGTTATTTAAAGAAATAATTCATAAAGCAAAAGAAATTCTAACTGTATTTGTGACGGTCATTCAGTTGCAATGAATATTTTATTATGACAACTCAAAATAAAAGTAATCTTAGGTTATTATGACTTTTGTCATATTTTCATTTTATTCATGCTATGATGAACAGTATTCTACGATTCTTATTTCAGTGCCATCTCCATAACACATTTCTTTCGAATTCTAAACCAAAGAAATAATTCTGTATTTATTTGATACAAAAAATATTATAAATAACTTATGAAGCCCTTCTACGCAATTGTAAATAGAAAATTGCCAGTACTGTCTACGTTGGCACTTAAAACTAATAAAATTGTTTCAATATAATGTATATTAACAATAATACCCCTAATTTTCTTATTGCAATTGGCAGATATTAAAAATTGCGTGGAACATACCTGAAGTAACTCAATCCTTGTGTCAAATTCATTTTACTTTAAACGAAAGGTCATTAATGTAATTTAAAAATTATTTATTAACTTAATTTTGGAAATAAGAGATCTTTGTACGTTCAAATTCTCTTAATATTCGTATCAGCCAAATGAAGTTTAATTTCCGTTTTATCTATAAATAAGTTATTAATATTACGTGTATACTCTTGTAAAAGCTATGGTCGAAACAATATAATTAAATGCTCATGTTAACTCTCAATATTAATCAGTTTTATCTGTTTATGAAGATTATTCTTCAAAAGCTTTTAGTTGTGAAAAACAGCTCTTATATTTATAATGTATATTCTGTCTAATATTACTGTTATTAAGCTTGAGATTAAACAATCAGATTGAAGAATTTTGAGATATAATATTAAAAACTGTGAAGAACTTGAAGCATAATTACAATTAATTTTCTAATTTAATAATACATTGTTTAATAATTGAATTGAGTAAAACTTTATAAACGAATTGTTTCTATAAATAAATAAATTTTTCTATTTTTTATTTCAACACTAAGAGAATAAATGATTTTGTTTCAACTGTAGCTGGTGTCGTGATATGTGTTCACATTCGAAGAAAGCGTGACATTGTTATTGGACGGGGTAGCAATTTTATGACGGATCATAAGATCCTCTCCCCACCGTAGAGAGCACTGACAATAAGTTATAATATCATTTCGCAAGCAATTGTATCCTGCGTATGCGAGCATGCATGAATTTACGTCGACGAATAAAACCATATCACAGTACGTATTGAATAAGAATTGAAATTATCAATTTCTAATCGATAGCGTCACTTAACCCTTTACTTGGCAAGTTTCGCGGAACGCAATGGTCGCTTCGAGATACCGTGACAGCGAACAAATAAAAAAAATGAACATGAAACAGCATGAACAATGGTATAACCGAAGAATCATCTATAATTCATACTTGCACACGTTTCTTCTTTCACCAGAAGAAGTGGAACACCTGAAGTATCATGTATGTTTTGTATGCTACAAAATAAATTCTGTAACTTTATGTAACGAAAATATAAAGAACTGAAAACAAACCTGAAAGTATACGTCACGATTAAAACGGAACATAAAGGAACAGTATAAATTCATGTTGTTTACAAGCAATATTTCCGACTAAAGGGTTAAATATTGTATGCCGAATATAAAATAAAAGAATTTGAAGAACGATTGCAGCATTAGTATCGGCGAATTCGTCGATGTTTCGATACATGTATAAATTAAGGGTGTAAGGATTGCTCTGAGAGTGAACAGTTTTATGTATTGGCGCGCAAATTCGTAGTAAAATACCTTTTTTCCATGAATAATATAAATCTCGGTTGTATTTAAGATTGGTCATTTTTCGATGATTCCCGTGTGTTCATTCTTTTCCGATTTGAAATGTGATAAAACGAATACTTGAATTTATTTTGACCTTCTATCAGTATTAATTATTCAGAATGAAAATATACAATACAATGTCTAACCGATTTCTGTTGATTGCGTGGCATACTATACTTTGTAAAATCAAAAAAAAAGCGTAGGTGTGAGACAGTTGAAAGTACACAAAGACTAAGAGAAATCGTTGTATCGCACAAAGTATCGATAAGTAACGAGCACGTAAAGCACTTTATTATATGATTGGACTGTAAAATTACATTGGAAATATGTCATAACGGACTCGCATTTTATACGACAATAAGATACAATCTAAGATATTTTCTCGTTACTAATCATCTGAGAAGCTCACGACTTGTCATCACGCGAATGATTCGTTGGTTTGAATTTGAATCACTGAAAATTCCGCATGCTAAGTAATAATGCGTCTGTTATTTGTTAAGTGCTCTTGTGTGTGACAATTTTGACGCTGAAGAAGTTATACATCCGACTCACTAATTGCATGTTGTATTCTAGTACAGACGAATTGATGAACTTTTTATTACATCAATCTTCAGTTTGCTAGCCAGTGAAAGAAACATTTGCTAATACAGTTATTTTATAATCTTAGACTTTTTGAAGCTATGAGGCTTACACACTTATTCTTAACAAATGTTTCTCATTAATTTATTTTTACTGAAGACTAATTTAACAATAATTTTCATTACACTTTGCCTTATATTGGGAGAGAATATGTTAGAACAATTATTATACATTTTGTTGTAAAATATTATAGTTAGGTAAATGGTAGATCTGCGTATTTTAATTTAACGCGACGATCACCTCTTCTTTACGTTTTGCCTTACAATATTGAATTACCGGTTGCTATGATTTTAAAAAGTATTCAATAAATATGAATATTATTCCTTTTATATATTTTATAAGAATATATTAACAATAAAGTAAACTCTGACGAGTCTAAGCAGTCTTTCTAAATCTAAGAATTATATAGTCATTTTTGTTCGCAGTAACATAATTGAAACTACCAATCTGTGAAATACATTGTGTAAATTATATATTCTATCATTTTTGTAAAAATATTCCAAACAAAGTAAAATGATTTTGTTGGATATACATGCTGTACCTATTTCATTTTAATGTAGATATGCTCTATAAATTGAATTTTTTTAGTGAAATGTTCATATCCTTTTGCAGAAATTGAAAAAAAAGTATTCAATATAAAAATGAACAAATTATTAAACCGCTATAGGATCGATATCCATATTTACGTTATACTACTTACTTATTTTCTTCAAAGTTTATTGATTTTTCGATTTTCTTGAAAAGATATTCTGCATTTTATTAAAAATACTCTAAGTAAACATGAAATACTTATAAACTCATGTAACTATTTATTATGAAAAGAATCATTGTAGCGTACATATTTTTCAAGAGTGCACAGTTTTTAATTATTTCATAGTTTTTAAGTTTGTGAGGTGGTTGATGTAATAAATGAAGTTCGATGTCTCGGTTAATGGTGAAATGAACTTATGATGATATGCCAAAAAATAGTTAATTAAATAGTTATACATTCGAGCGCGAAAATTGCCACACGGTTGGGGTTAATCGTTCAAATAATTATAAATACGTATCGTGTTGAAATACACGAGATGTTCAACAGCAACGGTATTTGTACGAGCCTGCCGAGCTTAAAACCATGTATAGATAAAGAGCAATGATCGAAAGAGCGATCATTGAATTGCGAATGAATGTAGACAGCGACTCTTTAACATCACTTTAGGGGTTTACATTTTCACTGTGGACGTGATTACAATAGGTAACTGACCGCGGCCAACACGTATCGCTGTTTGTGTCTAAGGATATTAATCGTATATATCGTCATTGTTGATTATATGACTAACTCACGAGTATCATGCCATGTTTGTAATTAGGGCGTTCCTGTTGAATACAATCGATTCAATGGAAAATGATTTTTCTATTTTCCTTCGACGGAGGTTGATTTACGGAATATCCATAACTGGTAACAGTGTTATTCAGTTATACTTTTTCAATTTTTTGTAAATGTTGTGTGTCTACACATACAGGGACCCACAAAAATATTTGTACAGTAAAGACACTCTGATAAAAATAATTCTACTTCGTAAACGAATCATTTTATTGCAATGAATATTGCAGAATATTTACACTAAGCGATGTTTAGATTCTGTAATGTATTCAGTAATTTGAATAGAAATTCATAATATTGTAATATTTGGAATGGATGAATATATTCGTGCAGTATAAAACCTGCTAATAAATAACAAAGAAATACAAAATGAAATCTTTTATTGCGAAACGAGTGAATTTCCTTTTATAATTGGTTTGCTGTGAACTTTTATTTAAATTACTAGATAATGGAATATAAAATTTATTTCTTTATATTTCCGTGAGATGATTATTAGTTTAAACTTGTATTATCCACTTATAGAGTTGTCGATTATATCTCCTTTATAGTTTCTTCACTGTATAAATATCTTTGTTTGCCCCTGTACTTATCATAAAAATGTATATTGTCAAATTGTGATTATATACCTTATTTGCAAAAGAATTGTTATACAAATATGAACATATCTTATTTAATGAAAATCAACGTCACATTAATACTTTCATGTATTCTCATCTTTTCTAAATATCTCTACTAATAAACTAAATGCAAAACAAATCAACTAATACTAATACACTGTTTAAATATTCATTTACAGAATATTATCAATTATAAAAAAAATATTATAATGTTGTTTGGCTTCACTGACATTCATTAAACTGCTTTTCGTTTTATGATGAATATATAATGTCACCTTCATTTAATCTGAAAGTTAATTAATCTGTATTAATAACTTGTAATCTCATGTAACTATCCAACATTACAGTAAAATTGTAATAATTCAAGGTGAATTTAATTTATTTATACTGATTTGATAAAATTGAATATTAAGTAAAATAATTGAAATTTAATATAAGAATGAAAGTGTGTGAAACAATTATCAATGGTGTCCATACTAGAAACACAATTCTTTTAAAAACAGTTGTCTGCAGGGGTTAATTCGACGAAGGAAAATAGAAAGAGAAACGTTAATATTGCGGATTGTCTGGATCGAGTTTATCTCGAGAAGTAGGAGTAACCTGCAATATAACTGCGTCCGTATACAAACTGGAAGTACGAGTAGTTTAATGGTAGAACGACGTTAACCGAAACTACCCAAGTTGTTACCGCTTAAGAAGTTTAGGATAAACATAAGGCTAAAGGTGAGTCGGTTGAATCGATGAAAAGTTTTAAAAATGGAACGATCTGGATGCCAAATGCCAAATTGGTATAAATACGATTAAATGACTTCGGAAAGAAGACTTTTTAAAGAAATAACTTTCCAGAAGCGTTGATATCGTCATAGGTATTTAATAAATGGTGTGTTCATAAAATTCTACAAATGGAAAATGATAACGCTCTACACCAGAGTTGTCAAACTGTTGGCTCGAAACCATTTTCCCTCTTGGCCAGGTCAGCGAGAAGCGACCTCTTCATAATTTTTTTCCCTTCTTTAATTGTTGCGAAAACACCACTACGAGCAGGCTAGTCACCCTTATAAATAATAGACAAGTGTAAATACAGTGCAGCTCCCACGTTCATAGCAGTGACAACCCTGCCAAAAGTGCACAGGGGCAAAGGGAGGCGTCCACTCGTAGTGCTCGCCCCGGTAGTTATCGCGCACAGTGGCTCGAAATCGTCAAACACTAGACATTCGGTAGAAACACAATTTTCTGTTTCTGTACTGTTACATTACATTTCTATGTATACTATTATTAGATACTATTATTAGAACAAATATGTATTTGCAACGTAAAACCGTATTTTACCTATAATTCAATAAATTTCATTTGAAATTTTTGATATTTATGTAAAGTAATTTTTAGATTTTTGTTCGTAGATAAATACCTTTTGTCTACTATTTATTATTCTGTTGTCAAATGAATGGATATTTGTTCTACAATAACAGTAGAAGTAAAAAAGTAGTATAACACTACAGAAACAAAAAATTATTTTTCGGTCAAATGCCTAGTTTTTGACGATTTCGACCCGCTGTGTGGCGGCTCAGTTTCCGCACATCGTTATTATTGGCCGAGCCGCGTGGTGAAGAAATCAGACGGAGCAGAATGCAACGAAGTGAGATGTACCGTCCGTTGCAGTGAACCTGGAACTCGTGACGTCATAGAGGTGAATACAGTCGCTCCGAGGAATCCAATTGCAAATCCGGAAACGGTCTTTTACGCTCTTTGTCGCGCAACCCGATTAGTATGCGTAAGCGCCTCAACGAATCATATACCAGAACCGAAAACCTATGTGGGCAAGGCGTGCAATTTCGAATCTGACCACTCAGACGAGAGTGGCAGGTTTGCTGCAACAAACGGTAACGAATATTGATGTCGGATTTCGTTTCTAGGCAACGGCGGCTTTCTATGTTTACCGAATCCCGGAGCACGGATGCTCTGCTATGTTTCTTGGAAGGACTAAGGTGGAGGATGCGACTAATACCCCTTGCCGCAGTGCATTTAAACACTAAGACTGCAGGACGGACCAAATTGACCCAGTTCGGAATTTTTATTTTGCAAGTATTCAAATTATGAAGGCACGTTTGCGAAAGATTTTTTATTAAATTTGTGTATTTGCGCAGATGCAAGATTAGTCGGCTTTTCAAATCTCAAGAAATGTATTGTTCTAATTTTTATAGAAAATTGGAAATTAGGCACTTTAATTGCTCGGTAGTTTTAGTGCCAAACCTGATGTCGCTGTTATAAACGTGGGAGTTACATTGTTGTTCCGAATGGGACTCGGAATAGTGAAGCCCGAAAAAGGCGGAATCACCTTTTTCCCCCACTCCGCCTTACCTCTTCCACTACCTCATTCCCCGTCAGCGGATATCCCCCGACACCATCGCAACTACCACAGAACGCTGCGGTAATGCCAAAGAGAGGGTAACTGCAATCGCCTTAATTTTCCTGATCTAGCCGCACCGACTCGGACAACTCTTGGAGTAAGAGAGGGATCCGACTGATCAAGAATTAATTCTTAGAGGAGAGTCAGTTCGACACCCCTACTCTACATGATCTCATACATATTTCATCGATTCCACCATAAAAAGAAGTACGTTCGATATAAATAACATGTAGATGGTAATAATAATTTGAAAAGGAAAAGCAGGGGTGACGTTAATCCAGATAAAAATATCTAATGCTAAAAGCGCGCACTAGTGATTTAATTGTTATCTTTATTATAAAGTTTCTGATTTAGAGTTGATCTGTACTATCGGTCCGCTTAGAGTCTGCTCAATATTCTTTCAATGCTTTTGGTGAACGAACGTAAAATGAAATCAGACTGGGATTCATAGTGTGCACACATGCGTTGTAGAGAATTGAAAGATATTTGATCGAATCGTGAGTGGATCGAGAGTTGACCGATAGTGTGAATCGACGCTTGAACAGTTACTCGCGTTTCGATTTATGCATATATTAATGGTTTCAATTGCTTTTTGCACAGCACCTCTGCTCATTATATTATGTTTTGATTATTACTATCATATTTGTTACTATACATAAGTATTGTATGTATTTGCTGGTTTAGTTAAAGATGCCAAGAGGTTGTTAAATAATAAAGAAATGGTAAAACTAATTGGTTATAAGGAGGTCAAAGCACATCATTTTATAAACAATTTTATGAAATTGCGTGATTTATATGGAAAAAGTACGTAAGAGATTGACGTAGGAAACTGACGAAAAGAAAAATTTCATTAATACTTCAAAATGTAACAGTGGAAAGTAGATTAACGGGAGAAATAAAAGCTAAATCAAATCTTAAGATGTCGAAATGGCGTATACAACAAATATTGTAAAATAGAAAACACATCGTATGGAGAAAAAAAGGTTTCAAATTTGCCTTTAACATAACAACATAAACAACCAATACATAATTTCGCTAAAACTCGATTTGGCATTGCATTTTCCTCAAATCATTCCAATAAAATTTAGACACGCCTGACCCATCCTAGTTAAATTTTTTCTTTGTTCAAGAAAATGATGTTTTTCCATTCATTATTTCGAGGTATGTGAATTTTAACAATATTAAGTTTTGATTGTCTTCATTTCCGTTTTCGGTCTCGTTTCATTCGGGCGGACATTTCAGAAATTACATCTTAATGAATTCTTTAATTCATCAGTAACATTCAAAATTGTGTATTAAAAGTTGCTAGTGCGCGCACGGCCGTAGCCACTAGGAAGTCGGCGCGATCAATTTCTTTTTGTTGACTACATAGAGCGTTTATGCAAAATATCCATGTCGCCCACACTTCGATATAACTTGCGACAAATAGTTTGAAGAGAAAGAGGGGCAGAGAGAATTATGCTTTCGATGTTGCTGTTGTAACTTGACTTAATGTTAGTTAAAAGAAACTGAAGAGAAGTCGAAGCGTATTAAAGTCGAGAAACATGCTGATTCGCAAAGCGATGGTGTTTAATGGTCGGTCTTGTAATTGAGACATATCTCGAGATTAATTTCGATCTCGGACAATCCTCCGATCGTGATTCTCAACTATTGACATCGGAAGTGTTGAAACTAATTGTAAGATACGTTTTAGCATAACATACAACGCGACGAAAATGAAATATATGATTACGCTGACCGAAAATAAAAATCCGTGACTGTCCCACCTGATCCTCCAAAAAAATAAGTCTGTGTATAAACGGAAACTAATTTGTAAAGACATAATGTATATGTAATTTGTAAAAACTTAATGTATAATGTAATATATAATATCAAAGAATATAAAGATAAATGGAATTAACCTGAATATCGAGTAAAAGTGTAAAATATTAAATAATACCATTGTTTGTTTGTGTTTCTACATGAACCATATCTAAATGGCTCAAACTGAAGGAAAGCTACATTCTCCCCGGCTTCAATGATTTTTTAATACACCTGACCTTTGATTTACGCGGACTTGTCTAACGCGAGCTTCTGTTTTACCCGCTAAATTAAAACACTGTTTACACTAGGGGTTGCCAAACCATGGTTCATTGGATGATTGCAAGTAGCGCATTGCATCCTTGCGTCTACTACTTATTCTTTTTAAATGTTTCAATAAACGTGTGTCTTTTGAACTCATGTAAATTAATTAATTTAATTGTGCGAGATTTAGTTATTTCTTTTTCTCCCCTAAGCGAGGCAGATCCTACATCTATCCCTATTTTCCTACTCCAACCGTGATCGTAAGAAGGTCGAACAGGTGCTTCCGTTGTATGGCGCATCTGAACTCATCTGTGAACAAAGATGGGCGTAAGGTATGCAAAAGGTTAGCCACCCCTGATTTACGCGTAGCTTTTACGCGCGATTTTAATTTGCGCGGCCAGAAAATATACTTTGCTAGAAGTTTTTATTTGCCGAATCCCGCGGACACGGAGGCTTGGCTACTATGTTTCTTGGAAGAATTTAGGTGGAGCGTGCGGCCAATTCCCTTTTTCCCTGTACTTTTTAATTTTCTATAATAATAGAAAATTATATTAACATATTAAAAAAAATATTATTTTGAAGTTATTTGAAATAAATATATATCTCTAAAGGTCCCTACACGCATTAAACCTACGGCGATGCAGGCATTGCTACAAGTGATGGATTTAAGTCTTCCAAAGTTTCATGACTCATGTTACACTCAAAATTACATAGAAAATTGAAAAAAGCTCAATTCCATCGATTGTAACGATGTCTGCATCGCCGCATATTTCAGCACGTATGGAGACCTTAAAAACTTGTATGTATTGGTTTTTATTTCGAATATTTTTTCTTTTGTACTGACAGACTTTGTTTGCGCGAATGAAAATCGCGCAAAACAAATCCACGTGGAACGGATTTCCGCGTAAATCAAGGGTTAGGTGTATGTAGAAATAGATATTTTTGTTTTGTTTTTTAATATCTCCAATGCACTTTACAATTTGTTTGGAAGGGACATTTAGTAAATTGTCTTAGCAGTATCTGTGGACATATCACGTGAATGTTTCCTCAGCGGGATACATCTGTATACAGTCACTCCTTATGTGTGGAGAGAAGGTATGTTGTCGACATATTTGTAAAAAATTGCTGATGACACTGTAATGAAAATTGAGTCTTAACTTCTTATATTTAAAATAAATTTCTTTATTATTTGGTTTAGTACTGTAAAATAACTGAAATTCCATTAGCCATGGAAAAGTTGCAGTGATAATAAAGTTATTTGTGTGGGATCTAGAGTTTAGGATGTGGCGAGGAGCGTTTTCTTTGAAGCATTTTGAAATACGATTTATTTTACGACACTTCACGTAACAATACCGATTTTCGTATCTCACTTATTATTTCGCACTCGGTTGGTAGACGACCTTCTTACAACGCACGTTTCTGTTTTTGGGGAAGTCGACTTAATGTTTTTCTATCTCCTACACTTGGAACATATATTAATTTATTTATACATTTACATGTTCGACAGATTAACGTTAAGCCTATGATAATATATAATGTTTATTTGATTTCTCATTTAAAAATAAAATTTCAATGTCAATGTGTACTGTCGAATCACTTTTCTTTACTTTATATTTTGTGGAGTTGCCCGATTTAGCTGATAAGTGGTTAATATTGGGCTGATGTAAAAATTTTGACGTTTTTGGTACGTGGTTAAGAAAAAAATTTTTGTTTTCGAAACAAATAACATCAGTTTTGAAACTATTCTGACGCGTATAAAAGACACTTCTTTCTTCGTTTTAATTTAATTTTGATTTAGCCAGCGAACAGTTGAGCTACTCGACTAAATCTACTTTTGCATCGAGTAAAGACATAGTATGTATTAGCATACACCTGTCTTACGACGCGGTGGCCATAAACAAAGTGCCAGATTCGATTCTTTATTCATGTTATTGTTTACTTTTTTCTAACTGTATCTACAATAATCAGTTCCTTACTATGCATAGGAAATGAGTTTGATTTAGATAGATAAAACTGGTATTGGTGAGGCTGGTATTACTTTATAAGTAAAATGATTGATAACCAATATACGTTACAATACACACAGAATTCTTTGTAGTGATATCAATATACGGAAATATCTCGAAAACTAAGAGAAATCCTATGTTTATAAATTACTGGTTTAAAATAACAAACAGAATGTTTGTTACTAATAATTATTCTTTATGTTTAATGTATAATATTTTGTTTTATTATGATTTCCTTGTATAAATGGACTATAAATGTCACTATAATTATCGTCGTAATTTATCGTTTTTGACATTGTGAAATAAAAGTCTATGAAATGTTTTCTCATAGCGATATAACTATCAACTTTTACCTATAAAATAGCTTTGAAGTTTTACGTTTCATGCATTTTCCATAAACTGACAATCATTTAAAATTAACAATCACCAATTTCTATTAGCGTTTTTTTCAGCCTTCAACTGTTTTTTTTATATCTTTCCCATTTCATTTGGAATAAATGAGTATGCATTCAAAAGTCTATAGGATCTATAGAATAACACCTTACCAATATTCTTGGTGTCCAAAGGACCAACAAATTTGTCATTTTCTGTCTATCCTTGTTTCACCTTAGTTCCTGAAATAATAATGTTAAGGTAATATTAATTTAATATTCATCCTGTAAGCTAATAATGAATCTTTATAGCTTTATGATCGTCAATTTCATTTTGTAGTGACATTAAATTATTGATTCTATACTTTGATTTTCATTATTTTGAAGAATGGGAAAATGACGATTTGATCAAAGTATAACTTTGATTTTGTTAAAGAAAAATAGGGTTTAAATATTTTTAAGAAGAGTTCAATGAATTGAGATGTCAAAATTGTATGATACTTGGAGGTTAATGTTTGGAAATTTTTTATAAGTAGGTCAACAATTTTTTATTTGTTATATTACACTTTATTAAATGTAAAATATTTCAAATATTCCAAAAATATTCTACTTTGCAAGATGTAGAGGAAGAAAAATTTTACCATTCTATGATTTTAGATATTAAAAAACTACTAATATATAGGTAAGACGTTAATATGTTCAAAATTTGTAGTTGAACATAAAATACAATGAGTTTAGTAAGGAAGGAAACTATTTTAGTAAAGAAAGTAAAAATTTATACCTACATTCGTTGTTTTTTAATATTTCGTACGTTGTGAAACTGAAAATGCAACAGCTGAATACAACTGTATTGCAAAGGATAACAAGAAGAGGAATCAATTAAAAAGAACATTGACTTTACAATTTATTTACACAGGCTACACAATGTACACTATGAGGGATATGAAGACTCACGGGCGTCCAATCGTTGGACGCCCCAATGGATTGCACAAAATTCACTCGCAGCTCGTAGTGACAGACGAAAATTGTCGTATCACTGAAATAATTGCACGTCGCCATCGCAGAAGTTCACAATGTAACGCTGACAGGTCGAGCAACAAGAACTCAACGAAACAAAATATAGTTTGTACAACAACAACAACAACCGATATTACAGAAAAACACTATTTGAATGGCACTGCTGCGTGCTACGAAATATACGACTAAATTACTTTAAAATTTGAACAAAATCAGCTCATGAACAAAATCGTAGTAATACGTTTACAGTGCTGGGAACATTTATTGCATCGCTCGAATATTAAATACGTCGTCATTTAAAACTTCTATATTCTTAGTTGACTAATATTCATTAAAACAGACGTACGTTGCAGAAATGTATAGCTCGTTGTCTTGAACGAAATAAAATATGACAGCGAAGCAATAAATGTTTCCAATATTGTACTTCGATATAACAAACTTAAAAGCCGCCATTGTTGAAGAATCGATTCTTACAATATTTTCAATTTGGTTCACCAAAGTTTATACTTAAAACATGGACTAAACGATTTTTCAACGTTCATTAATTCAAAAGGTATATTGAAAACGTACTTGTTCATTTAATAGAAAAAAGACTAGAAATTAAATAAACGGAAACAACAATGGATATTACTTTTAACCCCTTGCCCCACGATTTATTTTTCAACTATGATCGATACAACTACTTCGCCAGTAACAATTTCTTGAAAAAAGAGACAAATTTAAAAGGATTGAGTAATATTTACCCTTGTTAAATCCTCTTTAAAGTCATCACCACGAGTCTGACACGTTGTTATAAGGCAAGGGATTAAGGATATGAGAACAAGGCGAACGAACTTGAATATAAGATTGAAACACATTACTCCATATTTTAAGTATACAACCATCTCGTTGGTGTAATTGAGGACGCGTGTAACTGGACTGTTACCTATGAAATCACAAGAACAAATTACATTAGGAGCGTTAGTTAAACAAACATCGTTCAAGAAGCTGTGACATTCGTATAAAAGAGAGGAAACGGATCAACAACATTCGTTCACATGGACGTCAACCATTGAATGCGATACACGCGTATTTCGTTTCGTTCATTTTTTTTATATATGGCAGACATGCACACTTACGCACACGTAACTCTAAATATTTGGACATTTGTACTTGACGTATTTCAATCGCGTGTATAACAAAATATTCGAAGCTACATTTCTTTTTCTCGGCTCCAAGAAATACTGGAACCTCTTCTACGTAGGTATAGTTTGCACTGTCGTACATCTAGGTGCACTTTTCTTATAATAACAAATACATAAATCTAATGTGACTTCGAATTAGTTTTAGCGTTATGACGATTTTACCCTTTGTACATCTACTACCCCTGACCACGAAGTTTTCGATCAAACAAAATAACATATCAAACTGATATCCGCTGAGTTTTATAGTAGATTTTGGTAGGAAAAGTTCTTACAGAAATCCTTAACGTATTCTTTTTTGTCAGGTTTTAGACACTGAAACGATGGAAACAGCTGTTGAAAACTAGAAATAAGAAGAATATTTGATTGATGAAATGGAAAAACTGTAATATATTTTTAATAAATAATTCTGCACTGCAAGTGTATTTTGAACTGTTGAAATAATACACTTAAAAAATGCTCCGCTATTAATAATATTTTGGTGAAATGTTAGTTCATTTCCATATACATACCTATATAAATGCGTATATAGAAAACTATGTACATATTCAAATATAACACGCAAATAACAAGAAAATTTAATTTTTCTTAAAAAAAATATTATTATAGTTAAACTTCCATCACATTATAGTTAGTTAAATTAATTTAAATTTTATAAAAAATTGGCCTTTGAAAACCTAAAAAAGCCTTGTAAAACTGAATTTGTACCAAAGTTCCATAAAAATCAGCGAACATATACTTTCGGTAAAGATCGTATAATATCAGCTTCAGTATGACCTCTTGAAAGCTTTTAGACACTCATACTTTTTACCGAGAGGAGTAAAAAATATTGAATGAACATAGGTCCTGTAATCAGTTGTATTTCTTCTTTTCAAAAATTTAGAAATTTTTGTCTCCTTATGAACGACAAATAATCTTGTGAACTTACGACAGGGAAATAAAAATGCTTCTATTATAATAAGAAAAACAGAAAATATTTAGAACGCACATCACTCTATGATTTGCAATTATCAGTCTTATATTGAAATGGAAGAACAAAATTACATTTTTTGTATTACATTGGTTTTGGGAACTGCGTTAATTAAATATTTCTCATTCTTCTCGTTTAGTACTGTAAATCCACAAAATTAAATCTTATTGTTTCATCACTCTGTGCAAATACATATGCATAAAAGAAAGTGCAGTTACAAATATATGAAAGAAATACGGTAGGAGAGTAGATTCTATTTAAAAGAAATAGTAATAAAATGTATTTTTGCTCTTTTGAACAAAAAAGTCCTTTCAACGCTTGGAAATAATCAAACACTTTCTCTGGTCGATATTTCGTATTAAACTTCTGTACTTTACGAATGAAACAAAATATCTGCTTCCATGTTAATGTGTTACCTAAATAAAAATAACAAGATCCTCTCACTTTATTCATAAACAGTGAAAACAATTCTTTCATCCAACAGGCATACAATTTTTACTACTGCAGTCTGTTTGTTTGATGAAATCCTCTGGCAGGAGTGGTAGAAAACACAAGAAGAAAAAATGTGGCTGCGCTACTTGTCCCATGAAATGACTGAACATTCAAAGTTATATGAACATATATGTCGAATGTTTCGTAGGCCTACATTCAAATTCGTTTGTTAGAGGCACAAACGCTTTGATAGTTAGATAATACAAGTAAAACACAGCATTGTAAAATTACATAAATAAACTTATATAAAGCATTGAATCGGGTAACCTGTCGATTAAAACAATATTGGTTGTACCAACTTACACAATCATCAACAGAACATAAATTTCTATTAATATTCTATCCTATATTAATTTCACGTAATTATACGTGGGAGAATTTTATAATTTAAGCTTTGGTCAGTCGAAGTGTTTCACAATGCAAACCATACCACAGTCTTCAAGCTAAAGTAATTTGGTCGAGTTTCCAACGCAAAGTTCTTTCTCCTAATCTTATCATCCGATATAAATATCTTTCGTGCGACAGTGAATCGTCGCAGAATTCAATTTATCAGTATCTAAACAGTCGTCTTGGACTCGTTATTTTCCTATATGGCCTGTCTTCACCCATCATTAATTAATTGTTATATATAATAACGCGGGTGCTTCAGGTACTCTGTCGAACGAATTTATGTTGAGTTTACAACAAAAATGTCTTGTATCTCAATAAATAAATAAACATCAGAGTGGTTATACAATAATTTCATAAATATCATTTCTAAGTTATTCCATATTCTTTTATGAGATCGAAAAGACACATGATGTAAAACTGGAGAGTCGAATTAAGGGTCGAAACACTGTAGCAATAATGAGATTTCACATTCTAAAGAAGTTATCAACATTCAAATTTATCATCCCTTTAATACTGTTCCTGGACTGAAGGAAGTGTAAAAGTCGTTAATAGTTCGAAATAATTGATAGTCTCAAAGGACTAATTATCTTAGAACTTATAGACATCCGATAACTTTTGACACTGCTTACGAATGTCATTACAATGCTGAAGAATTTAATGTAACAAAGTCAAACGTCTGTCATTCTTTTTAAACTAAACATGTTGAAGCATATATCTTCCGAGGAAAATTATGTCTTAGACTAGTTGTAAGTTCAAAATGTTCAGACACCCAAGACTGTCGAAATTTAGAACACTTACAAGAATTTATTAAATTTTTAACACAAACGCTGTGCAAGACGTTTTGGAACTTCCTAAGTTCTGAGTTGTTCACTCCAAACGTCTCACAGCGGTTCGTGTCCCATCCTTGAATCCAGTATCTCTGCTATCGTAAATTTTAACAGTACAAACTCACTGTTCCTTTGGTTACCAGTTGTGTATGACTAAATTATTACAATACAATGTAAATATCAGGATCATTTCAAAAATTCATGATCAATACACTAAAATGTACAAAAATGTATCTTCCTTCGATCATTTGTAATGTTCACTTCCATTTCAAATTCTTTAAACGTCGTGAACAACACTGTATGTATCTACGTACGACGTAAGTACGTATACTAATGGGATTTCTGTGAACATTTAATCAGTGGTTC